GTGAGTACTCTCATGTCCCTCTTCACTCACTCACTCACTCATTTACCCTCCCCTTCACTCACGTACCTCGCATCACCCCCTAGTTCACGTCTCACCTCTTCATGTGCTATATTACACTTTACTTATTTCAGACTGAGACAGGAAATACCCTGCAATAAAGTGCATTAAATAAAAGTAATGTGTAAGGTCGAGCCTGGCCTCAGGTCGGGCTCGGGGAGTAGAACTACTCCCGGAACCCTCTCCAGGTATGTTCCAGGTATGTTGAATTTATAAAATATTGTGACCATTAATTACAATCCTCGTTCAGTGGCCAACTAGGCTACTGGTTTCCATTCACCTGGAGCCAGATTCACGAAGCAGTTACGCAAGCACTTACGAACCTGTACATCTTTTCTCAATCTTTGGCGGCTTTGTTTACAATTATTAAACAGTTAATGATCCCGGAAGCACCAGGAGGCTGTTTATAGCAATAACAACAGTTGATTGGTAAGTTTTCATCCTTGTAAACTGTTTAATAAATGTAACCAAAGCCGTCAAAGATTGAGGAAAGATGTACACGTTCATAAGTACTTGCGTAACTGCTTCGTGATTCTGGCCCCAGGTCTGTATGGGTCTCGAACCCTGGACCCCACGCGTGTGAGGCCCGAGCTCTATCGACTGGGCTGTGAGTAGTGTTAATAAGGAAAGTTTCCAGCAACAGCTACTGCTGCCTAACTGGAATTTTCAACTTCCCCAGACTACTACTGAAGCCCAGAGGAATTACCTCTGACTTACTCTATGACGTCGGTGTGGATCACTAAGACGTACAAGGAAATACTTGAGGTAGACAAGTGGGATGCACTGACGCTGTGGAAGCCCCCTCCATCCACACCACCATCACCAGAGAGGAAAAAAGAACTCTACTACACTTAGGAACGTTAAATCAAATTTAACAAGCGGCAGGAGGCTAGTAGAAAGTAGTTGAAGTCACGGTTAGGTAAACACTGTTGGGAACGCACCACTGACAACACCACAACCACCCACCCCCTCACAACCACCCCAACAAACCACCCCAACAACAACCCCCCCCAACAACCACCCCAACAACCACCCCCACAACCACCCCCACAACCACCCCCACAACCACCCCCACAACCACCCCCACAACCACCCCCACAACCACCCCCACAACCACCCCCACAACCAACGACACAACCAACGACACTACCACCTTCACAGGCGCCACCACCATCACACTGTAACTCAAATTTGAAGGTGTTGAAGGAACCGCGGACCCGGGTGCTGCTGCTTCGGCCGGCCCAGAGAGCCATGGCCGTCATAATATTGGTCCAGAAGTCACGAAAAATTGTCTTCTTGCCAAGATCTGGAGTGAAGGAGGCGGAGGAGACGAGGCTAAGGTTAAGGACCAATGAATGAGGAACAGACAAGTGAGAGAGGGAGAGTGAGTATAGGATGGATTATGGAGGGAGGGAGAAGAAAGGAGGATTGGTGGCGGGAGTTTTTGTGTGATGGAGGAGCTAGGAAGGCTGAGTGTGTTGGAGAGGGGGGTTGGGGGGGGGGGGTCAGCTGGGTACTGGCAGGTGGAGTACTGGCACCTGTATGGCCAGATGTGAAGCCCTCCATCACTGGCACTGGTGGCACCGCCTCACACCACTCAAACTACTCCCAGCAACACACACTCAAACTACTCCTTGGTATAGAGACGAGAGAGATCATAATATACTCATGGAAAATATTGGAAGGCCAAAGTCCAAGTCTATACAGTAAAAGTACAACATACTAGAGTGAGAGATATGGTAGGAGCTAAACTGGACGGTAGTATATCACATACCCTCCTGTGGGGGTGGGGGGATAGAACACTGTATATACATCCCGTGGGCGGTGGGGGACCCCATACCCATCCCGTGGGCGGTGGGGGACCCCATACCCATCCCGTGGGCGGTGGGGGACCCCATACCCATCCCGTGGGCGGTGGGGGACCCCATACCCATCCCGTGGGCGGTGGGGGACCCCATACCCATCCCGTGGGCGGTGGGGGACCCCATACCCATCCCGTGGGCGGTGGGGGACCCCATACCCATCCCGTGGGCGGTGGGGGACCCCATACCCATCCCGTGGGCGGTGGGGGACCCCATACCCATCCCGTGGGCGGTGGGGGACCCCATACCCATCCCGTGGACAATAGTGTACCTATACCCATCCCATGCCATACAAGAGATAAAGAAAATCCCAAAATATTTCTTCACATATGCGAAATCAAAATAAAAAAAAAAACACTGCCCGTATTGGACCTATTGGTACGAGTGAAGGTTCATACACTGAGGATGACAAAGAAATTTGTGGAATCCTAAAATGCAGTTTGAGGACATGTTTAACACTCCAATAAACGGCATGAAAGTGGAAGTAAATGCGTCACAGCTTCGTATCAACATCTTCGTATAGGTCCAGTACAATACACAAGTCATGCCTGGCCTCAGGCCGGGCGTGGGGAGTAGAACAGAACCCCATCAAGCAGGTACCATCAAGCAGGTACCATCAAGCAGGTCAAGCAGGTACCATCAAGCAGGTACCATCAAGCAGGTACCATCCAGGTACCAAGCAGGTACCATCAAGCAGGTACCATCAAGCAGGTACCATCAAGCAGGTACCATCAAGCAGGTACCATCAAGCAGGTACCATCAAGCAGGTACCATCAAGCTGGTACCATCAAGCAGGTACCATCAAGCAGGTACCATCAAGCAGGTCAAGCAGGTACCATCAAGCAGGTACCATCAAGCAGGTACCATCAAGCAGGTACCATCAAGCAGGTCAAGCAGGTATCATCAAGCAGGTACCATCAAGCAGGTACCATCAAGCAGGTACCATCAAGCAGGTATCATCAAGCAGGTACCATCAAGCAGGTATCATCAAGCAGGTACCATCAAGCAGGTACCATCAAGCAGGTACCATCAGCAGGTATCATCAAGCAGGTATCATCAAGCAGGTACCATCAAGCAGGTCAAGCAGCAGGTATCATCAAGCAGGTACCATCAAGCAGGTACCATCAAGCAGGTACCATCAAGCAGGTACCATCAAGCAGGTACCATCAAGCAGGTACCATCAAGCAGGTACCATCAAGCAGGTACCATCAAGCAGGTACCATCAAGCAGGTACCATCAAGCAGGCATCAAGCAGGTACCATCAAGGTACCATCAAGCAGGTACCATCAAGCAGGTACCATCAAGCAGGTATCATCAAGCAGGTACCATCAAGCAGGTACCATCAAGCAGGTATCATCAAGCAGGTACCATCAAGCAGGTACCATCAAGCAGGTACCATCAAGCAGGTACCATCAAGCAGGTACCATCAAGCAGGTACCATCAAGCAGGTACCATCAAGCAGGTACCATCAAGCAGGTACCATCAAGCAGAAGAGAAAGATGGGCCCCCTTCCCCCCCATTTGTGGTAAGGGCCCCGGTAGCTTGGGTGAGGGCCCCCGGTATTTTGAGACGTGGGGAGAGACAGGGAGGGAGACGGTGGAGGAGTGAGGAATATATTGGGATGGAAGTGAAAAATCAGGGGAAGGCACCAAGCCATTACGACTATATAGCACTTGGAAGGGGCCAGGATAAGGATTTGGGATGGGACGGGGGGAAGGAATGGTGCCCAACCACTTGGACGGTCGGGGATTGAACGCCGACCTGCATGAAGCGAGACCGTCGCTGGAGGGAGAGAAGTGATGGTATTATTTCCATGGTGGTCATGCGTACTCCCTCTGGTTCTCCATCACTACTGGCGGGCAAGACGGGCCGGGCCCGCCCCACCTGCCCTCAGTTTAAACACACATTCTGGCAAAGTTTCCCCCTAATTGGAAAAGTTTTAATAAGAAATTGTAAATATTTAGACACACCTCGCTGCTGTTTTTTTCTTGCGGCTTTGAATGATGAGTGAAGTTGTGGCGCGAGGCGTTGGTCCCGTACATGTTGTGGCGCGAGGCGTTGGTCCCGTACATGTTGTGGCGCGAGGCGTTGGTCCCGTACATGTTGTGGCGCGAGGCGTTGGTCCCGTACATGTTGTGGCGCGAGGCGTTGGTCCCGTACATGTTGTGGCGCGAGGCGTTGGTCCCGTACATGTGTCTATTGGCTCACATTTTGGACTCATTTTCTGTTGTCCCATATTTTCTGACTTCGAGAAGTGTGACAACTGGTGCGTGTAGGCACAGGATGTTCACCACTCTCTTGTTAGTCAGCTGTCACGGGCTGCTTCCTGGGGGTGGAGGCCTGGTCGAGAACCGGGCCGCGGGGACACTGAAAAGCCCCGAAATCATCTCAAGATAACCTCAAGATAACCATCAGCTTGTAACGCCACCTTGTGCTGATCTCCTGTGAGCTATCCAGATTAAGGCACGAATTTGCCTGAGCAACGGGCAAGAAGCCTTGGACCTCTTTATGCACGACTCTCTTGTAAGGAATACACTAGGTACAATGATTACTTATGTTCGCTTGTGTATTTGGCTCAGGCCTTTAAGAGTCAATATGGAGGAGGAGGAGGAATTGTGTGTGACAGTTGGGGGATGAGGTGTTACTAGCGAGCCTTGCTGTGACATGATGCACACACGAAGGTCATTACATAGTCTTGTGATAGTATTAAGTAAGATTATTTACACCATTTAACTACATTAATAAATTAATAAATATAATTAATAAATGGGAAATTGTGAGGCCTGTACTTGTGTGCCAAAGCCGGGTTCACTCACAGGGTGTGTGGGGGGGGGGGGGGGGGCTCGCGGCTGAGTTGGCGGCCCTCGAGGGGTCTTGATCCTAAGGGCCCGGGTTCGATTCCCGGCCGAGGCAGAAACAAATGGGCAGAGATTCTTTCACCTGAATGCCCTGCTCACCTAGTACGATATAGGTACCTGGGAGTTAGACAGGTGCTACGGGCAACCCGTTCTCGCAAATTTAATAAGTCAATATTGACTTATTAAATATGTGCATAGGTGACATACTTAACATAATAGATAC